ACGGCATGCTCGCTGGTGACTAATCTGATTCCCTCTGACAGCTTTCACATAATCTCCACATCATCCCCAAATAGAAGAAAAAAGGATGTTGTGAAAGTGGAGGCTGTGAATGAATCAAAAGCAGTCTCCAGTGTCGGCTGCTGTGCAGTATGAAAGTAACACTAGGAATTTCAACTGCCACATAAAACAGCCTTTGTATTTGAATGGAAACAGATATGATTAATACAATGTTGGCTGCTGTAGCAAAATTATCATCTAACAATCATGAATATAACAGCAAGAATCATCAAATCAGATTCATCCAAACTTGTTTTTTTTATTGTGTTGCTCTTGCCATATTATCTACTGGCTGTGATAACATTGTACTCCCTAACATATTCTTTAGATCTCTAATACCATCAATATAGCTCAAAACACATCTAGCGCAGGGCAAAAAACGTGATAAGTTGTTCCTATAGGTTATAACAAGAGACTTCTTACAGTCTTGCTCATAATTCAGTTGGAGGTGATACCAGACACCCAACTATGGCAGTCCAGATTTTTACAATAAAGCTGGTGTGTACACCAGTGGTAATTGGTCATTTAAGTGGTAATTTAATTTATTTACTTTTATGTAAGGTAATGAACGGTTTAATCTCCACTGAACATCCGGGTCTCTGATTTGATTTAGTTCCAATAAATCGTAATATTGTAACCTTTTTTATGGAGGGGAGCCACAGGGGGGGGTCCCTGGTCAGTGTTAGTGGGGCACTGGCCCCTGTTGCTCCCCCCCCCTAGAACCGCCCCTGGTGTAAACAGTTTCCTTTTTTACATTACAAAGTTCTCTTACAGTCTCTTTTCTAGTAACTCATCATTACCTACTATAAAGTCCTCGTTTTACAGTCATTCAAAACTCACTCACTCTTCCCACATCATTTCAATTCAACTATTTCATGTGTTCCTCCTTCCTAACATGGTATCCCACAGTTTTGTGTAGATATATTTATTATAACATTATGTATTTATTTTAGGGGACAGTTTAACATGCTTCTCCACAAGTGAATCCAGGCAGCTATAATCGATTTTCTTTTCCTTTTAAAAGAGCACTTCACTGAAACTCTTTTTTCTTTACTTATTTTTTTCTTTATTTGTTTATTCCCAGGCACTCAACCCCCATAGGCTTACAATGTGGCATTGAAAAAGAACTGGCAAAGAACCAGGAAAAAAAGCATCAAAACATGCCCCTAAATGTCTATAACTGCTCCTGCAGCATTATCCACTTCACCACTTCTAATTTATTTTTGCCATGGCTCAGGGTCACCATTGGCATGCATTACAATTACTGTAAATCTGAGCTGACAAAAAGCCGAAGCTCAACATCCTAAGCCCAACGGAAACTGTTTTTTAAATCAAATATTTCTTATTATAACCTTGTGAATTTTCTTTAAAATGGACTTGTAGGACAAAATAGGACTCTTGTCTTGAAAGGCCTGAATGCCTGACAAAGATTGAGTGGGCTGATTCACAAAGGGAGACTTCAAATAAAGAAAAAACTGAAATAAAATCTGTTTATTTACTTTATTCTGGTATATGGGTGGAAGTAACCCAGGACACCTTTGAGACATCATGGGGGGATTTACAGATCATCCCTTGTGTCTGTCGTCGAATAATTATTTCAAAACACCCCTTGTGTTTTTCTCATTAGCAGACCTTAACACCATCTCAGTACAGGCAGACTCATAACATCTCCAAGACGGAGCACTAAACAGTCAGAGGAAATTCTAATTGGCGAGTTTAATGAATGCTTTGCAACCACTCAGTCAATCTCTCTTGCCAATGTGACGGCAATGTGTTGCTATTTAAGAAGTCGGGCCATTGTGATCTGTTTCCTGGGAGTGGAGTTGTTTTTAACCCATTTTTTAAGGTAATTACATTTCCTTTCAGCAAGCCCTTTATCAATTTCTCTAGTATTTGCGGTTTATCTGTCACTCTAATGAGGCTGTTTTTTTCCGCCCTCCCTCGGGTTGTATGAAAGAATTACAATTTATCAAATTATGCAATCCCACTGCACATTGAAATCGGATGAAAACAAGGCAGATGAAATTAATTTAAAGTGTTTTGAAGGCAAAGTTCTCACCAGGAAATGGGAGTTGCCTCATTTAGTGTAAAGAAAGATGACTGAGCCCTTTAGAAAATCCTTGAAAACGGTTGTTTCTCCGTGCAGAGTGTAAGTATCCCGCAGGAGTGCTATAAAAGGATCACTTTGAATACTAATATCACACGAGCTTCAGTAGATCAACAGTCATGTGAAGACTTCAGGGATGCACCTGGACTTTATAGCCCACTATTCCCCAATTTATATTCCCCCTCAGACATTTTAAAATCATTATCATTTGATTCATAATTTGTTCTCAGCATGCCTTCTGCATATGCCTGTCGTGAAAGGGTTTTTGTAATATGCATAGATCAGATATTCAGGCAAGAGATCAGACAGGGTTCAGGGGTCTCCTTTTCCTAGTAATTCTTACCTTGTTATAAGTCTCTCTGATCTCCTCAAGCACTGCCGCTTGGAAAGGCCTCTGTAAAGAATATGTTATATTCAGTGAAGAAGATAAAAGACATTAAAGCTGAACTCAACGAGGATTTAGACACCTAGTGCATCGGTTAAAAGGTGAGGAATCCAAATTCATCACTATCATAATTATCGTCCCCACTACTGCTGTCAACTATATATATCCAGATACATATATACATAAAAACCTTTCTCTACATTGTATACTTATACTTATAACTGCAGCCTAAACAATATGTGACTACAAAGTCAAATATTCAAACAATTCAAGTCTTAGGGGTCTTTACACAACCAATATAAAGTATTATCCTCAATCTGCCTCCATTCCTCTATTATCGAGGCCCTTTTGGGGGTTTTCCCTTTCCTTTAGTGTGTTATATTGGTTTTTATGCATGTAAAAGGTCTAAAGGCTAACATTCTAGAGTTCCCAGAGAGAGTTTCTCTTCCACACACTCCCCCCCCCCGACCCACGCTTGAAACGCCTCCATTGGACTCCTTTGTTAACTGTAACATTATGACATACACAATGGGCTTCTATTGGCTAGCACTCCAACACATTGTACGTGAATTAATAAAGGGCGGGACCTCTCTAAGCGGTTGACCAATAGCAACAGAGCCAGCCACCTAACCAATCAGAGCAGACTGGGCTCTGGTTTCAGACAGAGGGTGAAAAGAGTTGCAGTACAGGCACTATGAGAAAGATAAATCACTTTTTAAACATTAAAGCATGGAGACATGTCAGAGTGTAGGGACAAAATACAATTATGAAACCTGAACATTAGCATCATATTTCCTCTTTAAATTAAAAGCATTTTAGTGTTTAGTGACCAATTAGTCCATTTCAAAAGGTTCGTAATCACTGAGCAAGGGAATCTTTTTTTCTTTCATAAATCGTTTTATAATGAAATGAATTCACCAGTAATGTATCCATCAGTGATGCAGCCAGGCTTCTTGCTTCCTATTATAACCTTTTAACTCACCACTGTTGGCTCTTTCTCGCACGCATCAGATGCCATATATTGTGCACTCTCTACATAACTGCCCTGTCATGTCTCAATTAAGCTGTAAGACACACGTGATAGACAACTTTGTCAAGCAATCACTTCAACAGCTTGATTTGGCCAGCAATTGTATATATTCCATTTATTATTATTCATAGTAAAGATATACCAGATGCAAACGCTCACTTATGCTGATGATAATGCCTTTTTTGCACAACCCAAAACAATTATTTAGAATTTCCCCTCGGCTGTTAGAAACCATCTCTTTAACCTCACATAGGTTGAGGCCCTGGAATATCAGAATTCATGAGGTCATTTTTGCGTTTATAAATCATGCATTTACATAAATAGAGTGTGTTTCTATCACTTTATTTATGGTAATGCATTCACTAAACTGTGTGTTTAATGGTAGCATTCTTGCCCAAGACTACGTTTTGTTAACAGTCGGCAAGGTCTGCACTGAATAGGTACATTAAATGTTTTGGATGATGCTACTAAAACCAAAATCATTATGCAAAAGGGATAAACACTGCAAACAGTGGTCTACTTCAGGGAACATGAATGATTGCTGCATTAGATCTAAATGGGTTGATATTACAAATTCAAAATAAATCCAGTGTAATTGCTAAGGCAGAAACAATTGGTTTACTGTCCAATATTGCCTGTGTAAAAAGTGTATTCTGCTTGTTTACTTGAGTATAATTAGTTTATAACTGACAGGATCACAGACATGGTTTGTTTTCTCTTGTGTGACATTAGACATAAGTATGTTTAGACATCAGTGTGATTACAGGAGATCCCTGCCTTCTATATTCTGTACCACCAGGTCCGATGTGGCTGAAAATCTGATGCTTTACAGAAAATATGCAGCATTAGTTGTTAACTAAAATAGACTTACGGTTAAGTGTTTGTGAGACTGTAGTCTGCATTCTGTCTCTTGGCAAAAAGTAAACATTGTTTGTGTTTTTTTCCATTTGCCACATTGTTCACAAAAGTTTACTAACTTTGAGGTTTAACTAAACCAAATCTTTGTGCTCTCAAACCAAAGTACTTGCTGTCATACCAGTCCTATTTATACCTGCCATTTGCACCAGTTTCAATTTTATCCTGACAAACGCGGCTCGGATCAGAAAAAAAATCAAAGGAAAATCAAAACGTTTTTCTGTTGTCCACTCAAAACCTGCTTTGGGAAAAAAAGTGTATTATCTATAAACTACAAACTGAGAGAGGGCATCTCTGAGGGAGTTTGTGTCTGTGTGCTACAGTAGGAGTAAAAGTTTGAAAGCAAACAACTTTACAGAATCCCACAATCTATTTCTAATGACTTATTCACTTTCATGCACACAGCAGAAACTGCCAATGCAAAAAAATAAAACTTCTGAATATGTTTGCACATGGAATTTTATTTACTGTATGGAAGTTTCTGTGCAGAGTTGGACTGCAGCACTTCAGTTGATCTTTCTGCTTTTGCATCCAGACCTCTCTTCTGGACAGCTGTCTTCATCGGCCCTCTTCCTCTTTTTGGAGGGGACCTCTACTGTTTCGTTCAGTAGTTCTAATGAAAAAGAAAACGGAGGTTTAGATTTTTTTCAAACTAATGCGACTGTAGTATGACTATGTCAGATAGGCCAACTAAATAACCCAAAAATACATGAATTCATGTCAAACATCTCCAAAAACCATGAGCTATTCTGTGAATGGGTTTATGACATTTCTGTTATACAAATCATGTTATCATACAGAAGAAAAGGCTTAATAAATCCTCAGTGTGTACATGTGTGTTGCCATAGGGATGCTTACTGTTGACGCTGTCCTCCAAGTCCTTATTGAGGTTCTCAGTCTTCCTCTTTTTAGCTGAGGAGCTGCCACCAAAGGAAGAGCACGACTTTACTTGATCCCTCTTTCGTTTGAGCAGCGGAGTCTTCTTGGTGGTTTTTCCACCATCCCTTTTCCTCTTCTTCTTTGCTGTGTGTCCAGCAAGAGTGGGATGTTCATCGCTGCTCAGTCCACCATTTTCAGTTTGGCGGGCTGGGATGGCAGTGCTGCTGGAGGCCACCTCAAGGTCGTCATCCTCCTTATTATCAGAGCTCTGACCAAAGCACGATTTAACACTGGAAGAAACAAGAGTCATGCAACTTCATCTAGCTACAGTATATCCACAGTGCGAGGAACACAAACTGTATCCGAGAACTTACAGGGAGCAGCTTTTTGAGTCGCCAGAAAGGTGACTCATGGTGATGAACGGATGCTGGAGGATCTGGCTGGGTGTGATCCTCTGAGCCGCGTCCACCATCAGCATCTTTGTCATCAGATCCAGAAAACTCTCCTGGTCACCATCACACACTCTGGCTTTATCTGAGAGTTTATCAGACTTCTTTGGGAGGATCAGAATGAAACAAAACGGTAAGAATGGGACCTTTTATTTTATTTTAAAATAATGTAAATTCTTTTAAAAGAGATATCCTACCTTGATGAGATCTCTCAGGCTGCGAATCGTCCGTGGGAATAATTTGATGGAATTTCTCACTTCACGTGGGTTCTATAGACAAGAAGTAGAGAGAGTAAGCTAATGTGTTCTGACTACAGTGACACACAGAAACAAAGACTTAAATAATAACAACACAATTTTACTTTAAATCTCCACACTGGGGGTCCCTCTTCTCTGAATGTTGCACAGAAATACTCATGTGTGAACATTCCAGCATTGAGCAGATGGCTTGGTGGCTCACCAATACCAAGTATGATGTGCCTCAGCTATAGGAACAACACAAGGTTGCATTACACTTCAACATTTCTAAAGGCTTGAGAATTTTCCCCAAGGTTCAGGTACATACAAGTTACAAATGAATCTTTGGTCATCAGGAACAATAAGTGTCAATGCAGTGGCAAACGGATGTTTGCACCAAATGTACCAAGACATTATGGCTTGAGTGTAATGCTTACCATGTCATATTCGTCACTTCCAGGGAACAGCACATTGCCGGTCAACATTTTGGCAGCAATGCAGCCAAGAGACCACACGTCGATGGCTCCATTGAACTCATTTCCCAGCAGGATCTCTGGAGATCTTAGAAACACAAGAGAAACACAAACACATGAATAGGAAGTAGACTCCTACACTTCACTGTGAGTTTCTCAAATATGCAATGTTTTGCTGAGACTTTTGATTGACTAAAAACTTGAGACGCAAGTGTGAAGTATTTCATTCATTTAGTATCCTTTGTGATATCCTGTCAGTTACATACCTGTAATATAGGGTCTGCAGGGTCTCCCCCGTATGCTGAGTGGAGTTGTTTACGGCCAGGCCAAAGTCGATCACTTTGATTTTGAGTGGCTGGCGAACATGGTCCACCATCATTATGTTCGCTGGCTTTAGATCACAATGTACGATATCAACCACATCCAGGAAATCCAGAGCAATAGCCAACTGAAATCAGGATCATCGGTCAGAATACATTGTAATGCATCGTTAATTTTAAAAACCTTTTTTTAATAAAAACATTTTTTAAGAGCTTTGCTATTTCAACATCTTGAACAATTTAAGAAGTTACAGTAGGTGAATGTAACGGTAGTTGCATATGGTATTATGGTAAAATCTGACCATTCAGCCACTGTTTTAAACATTGTACAAAACAAACCTGTTGCACAATGGGCCGGATCTCCTTCAACATCAGAGACATAGACCTTCTCTTCCGAAGGAATTCATACAGGCTGATGTCCAGCTTCTCAAATTCTAAGCAGTAACGCTTCTTGTATTGGAAGGAGTCGTTCCATAGCACGATGTTGAAGAGGTGGCAGTTACCCAGTTTCATCTGTTTAAGGATATCCTCCTGTTGTATAAGATGTCAGAGAAAGATTTGATGTAGTAACATTGTATTTTGAATAGTTTTGTAATGGATACGATAAAAACATAATCTGTGTCCCACCTCACTCTTTGCATCCTCAATGCACTGCCAATTTCTCATGACTTTTAAAGCCACATTTTCGTTGGTGGCAAACTTCCTGCACTGGGCGACCTCTCCAAAGCTGCCTCTCCCCAGTAAATACTGCACTTGGTAGGCTGAGGATTTGGAGTAGAGCATCGCTCCTTCCTCAACCTGGAAGTTGTGAGGCATGGTGCGAGATGCACCCTGATGCTGATTTCTTACAACTGAAAGGAGGGAAGGAAATCAGAGGAATTTAGATATACAAAGTCATGTCTCGCCTCTCAAGTTAAACACCTACAAATAAGGCTGACTGTACTTCTAGCTGTCCTTAAATACATATAGATATTTACTGTAAACATATCTAAATAAAATATTAAAATAAAAAACATTAGAAAATCTCACAGAACATATAAGATTTGAAAACCGTTTACTCCCACCAAATATATATTTGTATGCTTTTCTAGATTTTCCTATCCTTCAATAGACAAATATGTATATTATTTATATATTACCTTTATTTAATCTCTTCAAATACAGCTACATAAACTTTTAAAGTCGTAAAAAAGCCGAAAAAGTAACGCAAGAAAAAGGATTCAACTATTCAAAATATCTGCTTATTGTGTCTTTTTTCACTGTTAATTCCCAAAACAATGTGCCTATGTCAAGTGGAGTGAATTACATGTGATTATTATGTTTAAATTGCAACCAGATGTTGAGTTTTCTCTGTGTTATCAAGTTATATTTGGCAAATTAACTTACCAGAAGTCCAAAGTGCACTGCAGGAAATGTTAAGTTTTGAGTCTCAGTGTAAATTAACGGTTACTGGACGGACTAGATTTGAATCTCAGGGTACAGCAACTAGTAGGTCACAAAATTGTTTAAGGTTGTCTTCAAGTGAACAAGCCGAAAAGCAGGTGAACGAGTCAAAAGCAAGGTGGAAATTACCAGAAAGTCAGATTACGGAACATTGGAATCTCCTCTCTGTTACACTGTTCCATCATTCTGTTCCAACATTCTGTTCCATTGGAAGTTCCATAACTTCTCTTGAACAAGTGTTGATGGTATGCAACCTAACCCAGCAGAGAAAACTCCAATCAATGAATACACTATGTTTATATTGTATATATAATGCCTTCATAAAGGTTATTGTTATCCATTTTTGGATGACAATAAATCAACTAGAGCCTCCAACGGAAGAAGTACTCAGATCTTTAACTTCATAGAAGTTGCAACAAATCAGTGTAAAAATACTTAACGTTAAAGCATCAACATACTGTATATTGAGTAAAAATACTTAAGGTTTAAAAAACATTATTATATTATTATTTCATAATGTCTGGTAAAGGTGGAGTAAAGGGCTCAGATGACACTTTAAACTATATCTGCAACATATTAAGGCCTTACAGTGCGTCCTTATGTACTTAACTGAGAGCCACGGTGCTTGTTTATTAATAAAATATTGAATGCTTCTGCACAATCTCCCTGTGTGTCAGTGTGTTTCAAAGTTGTGCACAGTGCTTCAGTTTTGTCCAATTATTTGTCAGGAGCATAAACTGTGTGTAAAACAAAGTATTATAATTCTATAATAATAAATATGAGTCGTCAATAAAATAACATGGCAATGAAAAATATGCATTTTGAAAAAAAACAGATCCATATAAAAAACAAACAAACTTAAAGGTTTCCTATTATGCTATTTGTAGGCATATATTATGGGTCTCAATTCAAAAAACATGTCTATGATGTGTTTTGCTCAAAATACCAAACAGAACATGCATTTTAGACATCCCTCATATCCCTCTATTCCAGCCCTGTTAGAGAACTGCAGGTTCGGGGTCGTTAGCTTGAAAAAAAAAAAGGGGGGAGCTTGTGCCTGCTCATAATTCTCCGAGATTCAGCTAAATGCTCCCGTTAGTGGATGCCATATCATGTTCCAAACCACATCAAGGATTATTTCTGAAACAGCATGGAGCTCAAATGCTTTTTTATCTTGTGGGTTTACCACAAGGTGAGTTCCTTTTTTTATTTTCCTGCTTTTTTACACATATTCTCTACAGGTTAGCTCTGAGTGTACGTCCAAAACACGTCGGGCATTGTTTCTGATAGCGACTTTTCTGATAGTGCCGTGGGTCCACATTTCTGATATTACGTCATTTCGGACGGAAATCTGGATCAGGTCCGTTGAACCCCCGTTTTTAGAGATTTGGGTATGGAGGAAAAGAGAGAGGGTTTTGTTTTCTGACACGTTGTGAGTTCCCTGACACACCAGGGACACATATTTATGTATAAAAGCCATCAAAAAGTGCATATTGCATGATAGGTCCCCTTTAATGTTTGTTATATCACCATGACATTTAAAGGTCCCATGACATGGCCATTTCTACTGATCATAATTCCATTGTTGAGGTCTACTAGAATAGATTTACATTGTTCAATGTTCCAAAATCACATTGGTTTCTCATAGAGCATCTCTGTATAGTATGTGTATTCACTCTCTGTCCTAAACGGCTTGTTGGAGCTCCTGCCCCTCCCCCCCTCCCTATGAACCCACTGTGCTCTGATTGGTCGGCTCGCCCACTCTGTTCTGATGAGACCACCACCGTTTCAGCGGAACATCAGTGATTATGTGTTAGAATGGCGTTAGCAACCAGAAAATGACTCCAGTAATTACAAACAGATGAGAATGCTGCGTGGGGTCTGGGTGCCGTGTTGGCGGGACGTTGCGGGGCTCGCTGCTGCGGACAGTGTGAGCTGGATTACTGGGGTCGTTTCCTGGTTGCTGCGTGGGGTCTGTGAGACAGCGAGACACCGCAAAACTCACCTGAACTCACCTGGCTGAGTTTTGCGGTGTATCGCTGTCTCAGGCTGAGTTCAGGCTGAGAAATCCGCGGAGCCGCAGCTGAGAAAAGATAAGGCTGAGTGAGTGTGTGTGTGTGTGTGAGGAGCTCCACGGATTGGTCCATTTGGACCTGGGCATGTTTACGTCACCATACTCAGGAAGAAAGAAATGGAAAAATAAAAATCTCCAACAAGGCGTTCTGGGGCAGCATAGACAGGTCTTTTCTGTGTTAGAGTTTTACTCGCTACAGGGCAGAGGTGGGGGACTCGAGTCACATGACTTGACTCGAGTCAGACTCGAGTCGCATATTTTTGGACTTGAGACTTGCTTGACTGACATTGATAAAAGACTTGACTTGACTTTGACTTGGTATTCATGACTTGAGACTTGACTTGACATGAGACAGAAGACTCGAAAGGACTTTACTTTAAAAAATATATATATTTGCATTTGTTTTTGTATTGTACGGAGCCCTGGAGGGTTCATAGAGAGAAAAATAAATAAAAGGAGGCCACGTTTTATTAATTCGTGCGCACGAGATGTAATTTGTGGCCTCAATTTAAATAAAACGAGGCCAAGCTTTATTAATTTGTGCGCACAAAATACTTTCTCGTTCACACAAGATACTTTCTCGTTCGCACGCGATTTCTTTCTTGCGGTAAAACACATCGAACTGCCCGATTATTACGCCATATTATTAGTTTTATGAAGAATATGTCCGGTCGCCAGGGCGCGTGTGTGTGTGTGTGTGTGTGTGTGTGTGTGTGTGTGTGTGTGTGTACTTTTTTTTTTCTTTTTCTTTTTCGGCGCCCCCCATAGATTGATGCGCACATCATGCGCCCTGGTGACCGGACATATTCTTCATAAAACTAATAATATGGCGTAATAATCGGGCAGTTCGATGTGTTTTACCATAAGAAAGTATCTCGGTGTGTAGAGGTGTGTGTGGTTAAACGTAGCAGCCTCGATCTCTATTCAGCTGTTCTAATGAAGGGAAACACAGTGAAGTAAACAGTAAAAGGCACAGCTCTTTGCAGCTGGTGCTGCTCTTCTCAGATTCTGCTGAGTTACACGTTACTGCCTCCAGTGCCCTGTACGACGAAGCCAGTTCAACAGACCCTGGATATGTTTGAGTTACCCGGCTTAACTAACCCTAACAAACGCGATCTCGCTAAGCGGTTCTACGAAGCTGGTTATCAACTCAGTAAATCAACCAGGGTTTCTCTGTCCGGCTGAGAGCGCGTTCACGTGAAAGGGACGGGGTTAGCAACATTTGACCAATCACAAACATGAAGAAGCGTGCTGACAGCGCAGCATCATACTTCATGAATGAATAGTAGGCCTAAATAGTAAATCCTGCTTCGTAGTACAGGCCACTGGTGCCGCAGAGATTTCATGAAGTGAAGGAGGTTTTCCTTCTATAAAACAGCTGTGGGCAGCAGACAGGCCTACTGTGAGAGTCACGGACATGAATTCATAGATCAAAGCAGACTGGTTTACAGACTCTTCTGTTTTGTGAATCCGGTGCTTAACTTATAACACTTATAACAGTTGGTTGGTGTAAATAAACCAACCCACTGTTATAATCACACTCTCGACCTTGTTCTGACTTATGGTATTGAAATTGAGCAACTATTAGTCGAACCGCATAATCCTGCTTTATCCGACCATTTTTTAGTCACTTTTGAAGTACTGTTAATAGATTACAAACCATTAGTTAAAAGTTCCTGTAGCAGAAATCTATCCGTTAGTGCTATAGCCAAATTTAGGAAGAGATTCCATCAATACTTAACTCGATAGCTTGTCTGTACACCACCCCAAATTGATCTTGTTGTTGATAGTGCTGCAGATGTGCTGCGAACAAATTTAGACTCTGTTGCTCCTTTGAAAAAGAAGAAAATAAAACAACATAGACTAGCTCCATGGCATAATGCCGAAACCCGCAAAATGAAGCAAAAGTCGAGACAACGTTCCGGCGTTCCACTAAACTTGAAGAATCGCGTTTAATTTGGCATATTACTCTCAATGAATATAAGAAAGCACTGCATAAAGCGAGAGCAGCTTACTACTCTTCATTAATAGATGAGAATAAGAATAATGCAATATTTCTTTTCAGCACTGTAGCCAGGCTGACAGAGAGCCACAGCTCTATTGAGCCTTCTATTCCCATAGAAGTTTTCTGAAATGGTGTAGCGTTTTCTAAAATGCTGTTGCGTTTTCTGAAATGCTGCGGCGTTTTCTGAAATGCTGTGGCGTTTTCTGAAATGCTGTTGTGTTTTCTGAAATGCTGTAGTGTTTTCTGAAATGCTGTGATGTTTTCTGAAATGCTGCGGCGTTTTCTGAAATGCTG